GTGTTGGGGACTCAATCCTTCAGATGTAACTGAAGTGAGTGAATGTTGGATACTATCTCTAGATGTTGTAGTTGGTGAGTTAATTTAATGTTGGGTATTATCTTTAGATGTGATACTTACTGGGATAAGTGAATGTATGATACTGTCTTAAGCATGTACTTGGTAGGTTAATTGAATGTTGGATACTATCTTTAGAAGTGGTATTTGGTGGGGTAAATGAATGTTGGGTATTTTCTGTAGAAATGATACTTGGTGGGGTTAGTGAATGTAGAAAACTATCTTTAGAATTGGTACTCAGTGGGGTTGAGTGAATTTCAGGTACTATCTTGAGATGTGATACTTGGTGGGGTGGGTGAATGTTGGGTACTAATTTAGTTTGATATGAAACTCATTTGGTGGGGAAAGTGAGTAGTAAGTATTAACTTATTCAAATATTAAGCATGGTGAGGAAATGCAATTATTAGATACTTGTTTTAGACATGATTCTTACTTGGTGGGGAAAGTCAGTGGTTGTTTTTTGATTTTGTTGTACAACACCAGAATGTTATCATCAAGAAATGGAACATTCCCAAACACAAAGCTGTAAAGAGTGACACCCATTGCCCAAATGTCCACAGCCTAATTTGGAAAAAAGATAAAAGATTATTCTTCTCTTTACGTGAAGGAAAGGGATTCATGATCAAAGAGTAAAGATTCTATTATCACATTTTACCAAAAGAATAATAATACTAATTATTAGAATACATTGCTTAATCATTTGTCTGCTGCTATTATCAACTTAAGAGACACATTTTTGGTTAAAGGCTAATTTGGACCATCAGTTGTTGACTATCTGTCCAGTAATTTAGTGATTAGCTAGCAGATTGGGCTTAGGACCACTCCAATAAAGTAAACTGTTTTCAGGAAAAAAAAATTACTGGTGTGATTTTCTTAATGATCAATCACATGTTGTTTTAACTCTCTTTAAAGACTAATAAAATGTAAAATCCATAATATAATTCTAAGTACATTTTAAAAAAAATTGTTTTACAGAGAAGTTATATTGCAACAGAAAAAAAAATTCCAACCACTTTCCCAAAGAATTAACAAGCAAGTCTAAGTTATGCTTTCCATACATCTAATTCTATTCCCCCCCAGAAACATTTAAAAACAAACCAATTTACCTTTCCACTGTATCTTCCTTTGTTACCTGCAAAAGAGACAACAAATAAAACTTAAAACATACAACTCATTTTTGTGTTATGTTTCAAATACACTGACAGAATATGAAAGACATACTACTCATGTAGGATAAGCCATGCAATGAAGAAAAAGTGAGAGTCAATTATCAAATTCATATCTTCACATATATGTAAAACAAAAGCCTTACTAAAACACACACACCTGTACATTGATATGTAAACAAAATAGCCTATCAAAGTCAGGTTTTAACACAAAAGTAAATATATCCCTTATTGTGATATACACTTCTAGCATACAGTGATATGGAAAAAGCATACTGATCAATGTTTCATAACCTACCAAAATCAGATTTTAACAAAGAAGTAAATAACGTATTAATAAAGAAACACACATCAGTACAGTGATATGGAAAAAGCATACTGATCAATGTTTCATAACCTAACAAAATCAGGTTTTAACAAAGAAGTAAATAACGTATTAATAAAGAAACACACATCAGTACAATAATATGTAAACAGAATACTGATCAATGTTTCTTAACCTACAAAAATCAGGTTTTAGCATAGGAGCAAATAAAGCCTTAATTAGGACACACATCTATAGCCCAAACATTGATATTTACACAGAATATCAAGAAATGTTTCATCACCCTCAACATCAGAATTCACATAGAAATAGCTAAATCCTTACGTAAGACATGCACCTGTAAACAGAATACTGATAAGTGTTTCATAACCTACCAAACTGATGTTTTAACACAGAAATACACAAAGCATTAATTAACACACACACACACACCTATACAATGATCTGTAAGCAGAAGAAATGATAAATATTTAAAAATATATCAAAATCAGGTTTTAACAGAGTAATAAATAAAGCTTTAACTAAAAAATACATTTCAGCACAATGATATATAAACACAATACTAAGAAATGTTAACCTACCAAAATCAGGTTTTAATATAGAAGTAATATAAAGCATTATTTAAGACATACATCTGTACAGTTATATGTAAACAAAATATTAACAAATGTTTCATAAACTACCAAATTCAGCTTTTCACACAGGAGTAAATATAGCATTAAGACATGCATCTGCACAGTGATACGCAAAAAGAATATTGAACAATTTTTTATAGGGTCTAAAGTTAGGTGTTACTACGGGAGTAAATGAAGCCTTATCTACGACACTCATCTGTAGCCTACAGTGATTTGTAAACAGAATACTGTTAGGTTGGATATTATATTCTCCTACCTCGAAGAGCCTCTGGTGCAACAAATGCTGGTGTTCCAGCTGTCCCAGAGAGAATAGCATCTACGCCTTCGAATTGATTACAAACCCCAAAATCTGCTATCTAAATAAATAAATATTACTTGTGTCAAATATAAGTGTTGAACAATAGAACAACATCAAAATATTTTGAAAACTTTATATTTATTAAAATATTGGATATTTATGAAAACAACCTATTTGAACTACATATCTTTAAAATTCAAATGTTTTAAATGTGTTTAATCATTGAATTAAAAATTATTTGGAAATTAAATTGTGATCAGTATTTAATAGGTCAAAACAAGTTTTTGAACATGTATTTTCCATAAATAGAATACTATTTAACAGATGAAGCAACTGGCAGAAAATTTGAGAATATTGCAATGTTAAGTCTAAGTTAAAATGAAGAGTTATAATCTCAAGGTATTTAAGGCCAACTGTATTTTTGCAATCTCAATTTTATCAATTTTCTCTTATAAATATTATTAAAAATTAATACAAAGAAATGTTGCAATAAAAGTTCGATGAATACTTATATATAACCCATAAAAAATCTTAAAATAACATAAGAACTAAATCTAAACCTGAATATAAATCACAATTACGTTACTAAAACACATTTTATCTTAAGAACTCAACAATACCTGAATGTAACTTACAACACAATCCTAAAACATTTACATTATAAACCTTAACTAATGCCTAAATATAACACATCATGTAGCTTAAATAATTTACATTAAGGACTTTGTGATAGCTATATCTATTCATAATTTGAAGGATTCTTCTTAAGATATTACTTTAACATTTAGGAAATATCTAGAATAGGATTATAATACTAAAATGTTTCTTGATTAAATATTTAATGAATATTTACATTTTGCATTGAAACAAAAATGAATTACAAAGGTTTTTTTGGGGAAAGAGAAATTATACAGTTAATGCATTGTCATACCAAGATGTTATCCTTATCATCAAGAAGAAGATTGGAAGGTTTGATGTCTCTGTGGATGATCTTCTGGCAGTGAACTAGAAATCAAAGATACGACCTATATTAGAAGCATAGTTACTCTTCTACACTGATACAGACATTCTTGATTATTTGGTTACAATTTATTTTATAATATCACCTTTACTATTATGTTACCAAAGATAAAAGAAAAAGAAATCAACTACTGGTCCTCCTTGTACTAAAATGCCATGCTAAACTGACCTATAAAAACAATAAGCTTTAGTAATTCTTTATCTTAGATAAAGTAAAACACATCCCAAACTTAACTCATAAAAAAGTTAACGTTTCTATTATATTTGTATAACTAAATACAGGGAGGAAATAGAGCATGGTACTACAAGTATGAATATTGTGTTTTCAACAAAACACTAATAATGACCAATGATTTTTTATAATACATATAACTTTAACACTGTAGTGCATTCAATTAATAATCTAGACTAATAATTTCACAAAGTTCCCTTTAGTAACAGTCTCCTGAACTGTAGGAATCCCACAAAGTTTCCTAGAGAAATAGTCTTCTGGACTATAGAAATCCAACAAAGTCCACTTGAGTAACAGTCTTCTGCACTTTACAAGTCCAACAAAGTTCTCCAGTGTAAGTCTACTGGATTGTAATAATCCAAAAATCTTCCCTGAATAAAAGTCTACTGGACTGTACATGTCCAGAAAAGGCCCCCTCAGTAGCAAACCCTGTATTGTATTAATCTCACAAAGTATCTCTCAATAACAGTCTCCTGGCTTATTCAAGTCAATTTATATTAAGAAAAATTAAATCAAACATATTTTTTCCTATCAACTGTTCATCTTTCTCAATAGTATAGTTTTTCTAGTTTTGTAATGGCCAAGGCCATGAAAGAATTCTTGTATATGTATATTCATAATTAAGTAAGTGAGTTGTAGATATAATCAATTTTATTTAAGTTACTTAGAAATCTAGTTTTTAGGTAATAATTAATAACATGATATTATATATTTTATTTTAACAATGTGTATTTAATTGTTTTATTTACGTATTATAATAATCGGATTAACTTTACAGTTTACTATCATTAGACTCTTTTAATCTTCTTGTTCTGGAAGTTGTTTATGCAACCACAACATCAATCAATGGGAGAAAAACTACATTAGTAATTCTATATTACTGTTACGTCTCTGGTCGTTTGTTAATTTTTTTTTGTAGAATTGTTTCCGAGAAACTTCAGCGATACAAGTCCTTTCTTAAATAAAACTAGTTTATTCTTTCTCAATTTAACTTTGCAATACACTTAATTTCCACAGTCAATTTAACTTAAACACACGCTATAATTCACAACGAACGATTCACGCGCTTTACTTACTACAGCGCTTGACTCAATTGTCCGTCTCTATCTCTGCCTGTCTGCAATTATCTATATCTAAACTGTCAGTTCTCGCCGGTCTTATTAATACGAAATAGAGGGCGTCTGGAGAACACTCGAGCCTTCACGAACGTTCTAGATACTCATTACGTGTTACAGAGTCACTAGAATTCCGCTGTCGTAACATTATAATTATATGTGACCATTAGTTAACTTGAAAGTTTTTATAACTTAGGTTAGATACTGACCTTAGTAGACTTGCTAGATTTGATTGTCCATGTTGGATAGTGAATAATGACCATTAGCAAACTTAGTTCTAAAAATTTGGCAATTAACAAATTTAACAATTTAATTATCTATAACGTGTAAATACAATTGATATTGACTATTAATAAACTTGAATATTTTAAATAATTTAGGATAGATATTGACCATTTGTAAACTTGGTGGATTTTATAATCTAATTTAAGATAATATAAGATGTGTCAAGACACTTACAAAATAAACACTTACGATATTCAATGCCTAACACAACATCTCTAAAGTACTTCCATGCCCGTTCTTCTGATAAAACCTCTTCGGTAGGTATCTCAATCACTGCCCTGCAAATAGAGCCATTATGTATATGTTAGACAATGTACAATCAGAAGTACAGTACTGCACAAAAGTGTTAGGACAAGAGAATATTTTGTCATTCTTTCCATTTTTTGTGGCTAATTCTTCCATGCCATTACAGAATGTAAATTTCAACACTATGATAATGCTTCACTGATCCCTGTCGACAATTGAATGAGCCAGGGTGAGAATCCCTATCATTCTTTAGAATTCCCACACACTTGTACCAAGGGCATGTCATAAGAGTTCTGCTTGAATGAACATACTGATTAAATTTAGGGTCTGAAATAACTGTCATGGTATCCCATGCAATGTCTTAACTATATAGAAAGAAGTAAGCAAGGAGCTAGCATATAGTATCTGAATATACTAGAAGTCATGAAACGGCCCAAAAAAATCGTAGAGAATTGTCAGTAGAGCAGAGAGTTCGCATAAAAGCTTTACTTGATGCTGGTCGGACTCTCCAACAAATTGCTGCAGACTTCAAATGCTCCCAAAACACTGCCAACTACACCCTAGATTGTGAGATCGAGACAGGTAATTTTGAAAATAGGAAAGAAAGAGGCAGAACACCTAAACTCAATAATACCGATGTTAAGTATTGTTATGAATCTGCTTGTTTGTTAATTTCCGGTAGAAATTCCTTCTGAGGAACTTCAGCAATACAAGTCCTTTCTTGATTAAACCACTTTATTATTTCTCAATACAAACTTTTAGTACACAGTAATTCCACAGTCAGTACGTTTCTCATCACTTTAAACTTAAGAACGTTTATAATATATGCTATAAATCACAGCGATTCACAATCTCGATAATCTGGCTCTTTAGAAGTGCAAAACACACACTAGCTCGAAACAGAATCGTAAATTACCCGAAACTTACTGTAACTACTGTTCGCTTTATCATTCATCGTCTTCACAGGCCTTCTCTGCCAGGCTTATATACTAACAAAGAGGCGTCTCCAAAATTCGCGGAGTTCCCCGATAATTCGAGAAATTCAGTCACGCATGCGCTAGCAGCGTCACGTAACTTCCGCTGTCGTAACATTATCTTCGATTATGCAGCTTTCAAGACAGATGGAAGACTACCACTGATCTCAAGTATGAGATAAACGACCATGTACCAAATGACGGAAAAGTGTCCAGATCTAAAGTATCAAGAAGACTCAACGATAATGGAATATTTGGTCGTGTAGCAATTAAATAACCTTTATTTCGATCTCCAAGTATTGTCAAGAGACTGCAATTTGCTAAAAAGTACAAAACTGGACTGTTGATGATTGGAAAAAGGTGTTATGGACGGATGAGTCCAAGTTTGAAATATTTGGTT